TGTCCTGTGTCATCCCCCACTGTCCTGTGTCACCCACTGTCCTGTGTCATCCCCCACTGTCCTGTGTCATCTCCCACTGTCCTCTGTCACCCACTGTCCTGTGTCACTGTGCCCAAAATTTCTGAGAGAAGCAGCTTAGCGGGAAGACAGTGGAAAGTGACTTTGTCTATGGTGGCCAAAGTATGAGGTAAAAACCATTTGCAGCCTACTGGCCAGGGAGCTGGGGCATAAGCTCAGAGACTGAAGGTCTTACAGGTGGCTGCCGCTTGGTGGGGAATGTGTGCTAAGACGAGCCCACTGGGAACATTTCAGGCTCAAGGATGAAACACGGAGGCTTGTCATTTCAAGCTAACAGCAATGACAAGAGCCTCATTGATAGGAGGACCACGTAGCTCAGTGGCAGCTAGAGCTCTGCTGGACCTGTGTGGTCCAGGGGAGCCGAGCTTCATCTTCAACTGTCCCCTGCATGTCAGATTGCACAGAGAAAGAGTGAGCTTGGGCAGGGAAGGAAGAGTTGTACCCCTGTGCTCAGAAGCTAACAGCCTGGGTCAGGGGACTGTTATAGCACTGCCGGGAGCAGCATCAGGCAGAAACTGGGCTAAAGAGACTAAGGAACAACAGAAGGACCTGGCCAGGCTGCTTTGGCATCAAGAGGTACCAGCAGAAGTGAGTGGACCCACTGCCCTCCGTGGCAGCCTTTGAAGTTCTCTTGGGATGCCTGGGTCATTTGGAGCCAGAAGAGGGAATATTGGAAGCACACGGGATTGTATCCAGGAGGAGACAATGCACAGCTGCTGAGTGGGTGCTGGGAACCGAATCTGGGTCCTCTGGAAGAGCAGTCAGCGCGCATAATTGCTGAGCCATATACTCGGACCATCTTTACTTTTCAGATCCTCTAGGCAGACTTAGGTGTCAGCAGTGAGTAAAATCAGTTGAAGCTGGTGTAATTTCATAAACAGAGACAGTGAGTCGCAGGACAGATGATTGGCTTCCCGTTGTGTGACGGATCCTAGATTTTGGGGTCTTGGGCCCTGTGCAGGCTATGCACAAGAGCTGGGGTTTCTGTAGGCACAGCCTCTGTCCCAGGACGGGAAGAACAACTGAGTCACCCAGCCTGACCTTGAGTTGTTGCATTGTCTCTGGTGTAGCAGAGGTCACCAAGGGCTTTTCTCAGTCCTCCTCCTGCCTTTCTCTTCTTGCCTGGGAGTAGCCTGCCAGGGCTTCACTCTCTTGTTCCCAGGCCCTGACACCCAAGGTCATGGAACAGCCGGTGGGAGGCCCCGGAAACCTGAGGCCAGCGGCTGGTGACAGCGCCAGCATGGAGCTCAGCACCTGCCAGGAGCTTCTGCACCGACTTCGGGAGCTGGAGGTACCTGGTGCCCATAGGGTGTGCATGGTGCTGGGCGGAGGGGAGGCAGGGCGCCCACCCCCGAGCTCAGTGTGGAGAAGGCTTGCCAGGCCAGAGAAGCGTGGGCATTTCTTCAGTAGAGTTCCCCTGAGAAGCCCTTTTTCTTCACTGGGTGGCACAAAGGTGAACCAGCCTGTATCCCAAGTGTCTCTCTCCCCACCTTTCTAGCCCTCTCGGCTCCAGGGAGAGCGGTGGTCCCAGATTCTACTAGATAAAACAGTCAGATGACTCAGGCCCCAGACTGATGGACAAGGCAAAGCTTGTCCACTCTGCCTCCCTCTCTCCCAGGGCACGAATGAGCCTCAGAGCTTCCCTTTTTCATCTCACCCCCACAGGCAGAGAACTCAGCACTTGCCCAGGCCAATGAGAACCAGCGGGAGACTTACGAACGCTGCCTGGATGAGGTCTGTGGGTGTGCCAAAGGACGGTGCTGGCGATGAGGGTGGGTGGACCCAGCTCCTCAGCTCAGCACCCCCCTCTGTCCCCAGGTTGCCAACCACGTGGTGCAGGCACTGCTGAACCAGAAGGTGAGTGGATTCAGGAAGTGCCTCGCACTCCCACCCAGTGCCCCACGGTAGTGCCAGGGCACAGTCAGGAGGCCCTGTCCTAGCACTCCAGAGGCCTGCCAGTCAAGCCTGAACTCTGAACTTTGATCTGGACTCGGTGCCCTTCCTCACCCTGAGCCTAGGTGGTTTCTTGAGGCTGTGGTGGCCTCTAAAGCAGTAGTGATGCTGTGAGTCTAAGTGGCCTTGAAATGTTCCATGGGTCACTTCGACTTCAGGGTCTCCCAGGTCTTATCTGGGCCTTCTCTGGACATGGTTTCTAAGGAAGCTGGCTCCAGCAGTGGTGGAAGTGACGGAGGCTGGCCTTTACCACCCATTAGGATAGTAAACCCTCGTCCCCAGAGGCTGCAGCTGTGGATGCAGCTGGCTGGGGCGGGAAGTCTGGTCATCTTACTGTCCCTCTCCCGCCTCCTCACCTTTACTCCCTTGCCTCCGGGGCGGACAGGACCTGCGGGAGGAGTGCATCAAGCTGAAGAAGATGGTGTTCGACCTGGAGCGGCAGAACCAGATGCTGAGCGCTCTGTTGCAGCAGAAGCTGCAGCTCACGGCCAGCTCCCTTCCTCAGGTGGGCACAGTGCAGCTCACCTCACAGGGCAGGGTGTGATCTGTCCTCAGCACAGGGCCCGTGGCTGTGTGGGGAAGGCCTAACAGACTAACAGGCTTGCACATTAGCCAAGGGAAGACTCTGAGTCCTCTACAGACTTAGCTGTCACCCTCCTCCCAGCTTTTCCCTCCTCAGCCGGACAGCATTTTTGTTGTTGGAGGAGGACAGGGTCTGCAGCCCTGGCTGGCCTTAAACTTGGGATAGTCCTCCTGCGTCAGCTACTTGGATGAGAAGCCTGGCCTCCATTCCCAGTGTACCCCTTCTTACTAACAGAGAAAGTTGGCATGCGCTCCTGCCTCGTGTGGGAAGTTGGGTGGAGGCTGCAAATGCAGATATTTCCAGCTCCCTAGAGGCCCCTGTGGCCACTGACGTGGCTTCTTCCTAGCCAGGGATGGGGCAGGGCTAAGCATAAGGAGCCCGAGCTCCGTGTCACAGAGGACAAGCAAGGCACTTGACCCTGGTCACCGGATGTGCACAGCTGCACCCTGGCTTGTGCCTGCTCAGGCGCTGGTTCCTGCTGGCAGCCTGGACCCTGCTGCCCTGGGAACACTGGGAGGCTCTGGGAATGAGTCCTGGCTTGAGTTGTCACGGATGTCACTCTGTCAGGAGCCCCAAGGATGAAGTAAGACACAGAAGGGTGGCCTGGAAGTGAAGGAGAGCAGCAGGTTGTGAGGACAGCCAGCCCCACCCCCATCCCATCAGGACAAGGAGAGAAGCTTTAGCAGGGAGGTGCAGAGCCATGTCTGTCTGGATAATCCAACCTGGTGTCTGAACCCTGGAAGGGGGTCCCAGGCAGCAGAGGAGCCTGCAGTTCTCCCTGCCCTGCGCCCAAAACCCCTGAGAGGCCTAGCCATAGCCAGGCCCCTCCATTCCAGTGACTGATGGACACCCGAGAGCAACCTTGGCTCACTCTTTTCAAAACCCAAACTCTGGGGCCACTCAGGGTTTGGTCCAGTAGGTCTCTCCTCCAAATTACAAACCTTGCCTCAAAGAAATGGGAGTTGGGTTTCTGCTGAACTGCTTTTTATCAGAGCGTGACTTTGGCCACAGTATCAAACCATATAAACTATAGGTTTTTCCCTTATAAATGGATGTTACACATCCTTGCAAGGATTAAATGAGATGGTACATAGTGCTTGGTTCACAGAAAGTCAGTAAGTAGCAGTTCAGTGCTAATGTGACTCGTAGAGAGTTGAAAGCTCCATTGAGTGGACACAAAGCTTTCCTTGGGATCCACGCCTTTGTGGAGGCCTGAGGAACTGAAGTGAATCTCTAGGCCCTGAGGGTGTTCCTGAGCAGGGGGAGTGTGGCCTTGGGAGGCTGGGACGGCTAGGAGGCCTTCAGTGGACAGCTATGCCTCAGTCAGGTGTGGCAGGGCAAGGAGGGCTGGGCGGCCCAAGAGGACGGCTTATTCAGGGGGAGAGTGCTTGTCTCGCAGATGGTAGGGCTTGTGTTTAATCCCTAACACCTCATGGAGAGTCCGGGATGTGGTGCTCTGCACACTGGGGAGATGGAGGCAGGAAGATGTCAAGGGCTCACTGGCCGCCCACCCAAGCCCACTCACTGGGCCCCATCCCAGGGATGAACCCTGTCTCTGTGGGCATGTAGGCCTGCACGCCAGAAGAGGGCCCCAGATCTCACTATAGATGGCTGTGAGCCACCATGTGGGTTGCTGGGAGTTGAACTCAGGACCTCTGGAAGAGCAGCCAGTGCTCTTAACCTCTGAGCCGTCTCTCCAGCCCTGAAGCCTGTCTCAAGAAAACAAGGCAGATGATTCCTAAGGACAAGCACCCACATGCATGCATGAGCGTGCTCATGTGCACGAGCGCACGAGCACACACATAGGCGCAGACAGACTTAAGGTTCCTGTAAGGAAGCAACATTGGACCTGTTGGGTCCTGTGGGTTGGAAGGAGCCTGACAAAGGGTGATAGATGGCCGTGGAGAAGGGATCCCCATGGAAAGAGCACCTACATGGTGGCATGCGGGCAGCTTGGTTAGGTTAAGGGTGTGTGACAAAGGGTGAGGAACACAAGCTGGAGCTGCTGACTGAAGAGTCCACGAGCTAGAGAGGTAGAGCTCCAGTAGACAAGGCCTGGAAGGAAGCTTCACAGCGCAGAAGCATTTTTGGAAAAGGATGTGTTAGCTCCTTTGTGCAAAAAGCCACAGAACAGGGTCCAGGGGACTCATTGGAATGGTGGGCACTGTCCCAGCCACAAGTGAGAAAATCTGGGCTGCAGATGGCCAAAGGTGAGGCCCAGAGGCGACGGGTTCAAAACGAGGGTGAGTGAAGGGTTAAAGCTGACTAGTTCCCATTTAACATGCAAAAAGTCAACTTCTCAAGGGCCAAGTGATGTGCAACCTAGGAAGCCTGGGGTCACACACAAGCCTCGGAGAGTCTTGAGAGTAGATGCTCCACCTGAGACTGTGGGGGACACAGAATGACAGCTGTCTGCCTTCCCACGGGTGCTTGTGTCTGTGTCCGTGTGACCATGCACAGGAGAGGTCAGCCTTGCGTGTGACATCCTCGGATTCTGTCCACCTTGTCCTGGAGGGACACAGGAAAGGAGAAAGGCCTGTTACTGGCCTTTTGCTAACTGCAGGCTGGAGGGAACAAGGGCATGCCACTGGGCCTGGTTTTTTTGTTTTGTTTTGTTTTTGTTTTGTTTTGTTTTGTTTTTGACTGGTTGGTTTGGTTTGGTTCTTCAAGCGTTTCTCTATGTAGCCCTGGCTGTCCTGGAACTCTATAGACCAGGCTGGCCTTGAACTCACAGAGATCCACCTGCGTCTGCCTCTGCCTCTGCCTCTGCCTCCTGAGCACTGGGCAGGTCTGCATTTTCCATCTCTGCATTCTCAAGTCCTAGGGGCTCAGAACAGCAAGAGACCTTCGTGGTGGTTTTGTCTAGTAAAACATAGTGCTGGTGCCAAGATAGGCACACTGGGTTAGACCTGCTGCTGTCCCCTGGGCCTGGGCCACCTCTCCCAGCCCAGGCCCTCTGTACTAATCTAGTCCCAGGCCTCCCAGACTTACACTGTCCCCAGATCATTTCTGGTTTTTAGGGTTACCTTATCAGCGAAAGGGCAACGGTGAGGGCCAGGAGGGCCAGGAGATATCCCTGGAGGGGCACAGTGGGTCGGAGTGCCTGGCTCTGTGAGGGCCAGTGACGACCACCTCTCCACTCTGTCCACAGATCCCGCGCACGCCGCTGCAGCCACCGGCAGAACCGGCAGCCTCGCCATCCCCAAGTGCTGCTGAGGGACCTGTCCCACCCTTAGGACACTGTGCTGGGCAAAGAGAGGTAGGAGGAGCGGGCATTGGGGTTTGTGTCCCACTGGCTTAAGGTGCCGCTGCTGCTGCTGCTGCTGCTTACCGAGTCTCAGGGGAAGGGCCGTTTCCTGTGGGGAGATGCCTGTCCAGGCTGGAAATGTGAGCACTCGGCTGTCGGCCCCACACCGAGCAAAACAAGCCCCACCCCACCCCCCAGCCATGGCAGATGTATGAAGTCATGCAGCAGGAGTCACAGGGCACACGTGCAGACTCTTCCCTGTCCAGCAGGGCCCCGTTGGGCTCTTACATCTTACATGGCTGAACATGGGCACATTATCTTACTTACCAGCCGACACCGATACCATGAAACTTAGAGGTCAGAGGACTTGCTGAAGGTCACGTAAGAGCTCCCACGTGGAGCTGGGCCTGATACACCCTGACTCCAGAGCACATGGAGTTAACCTGCTGTCCAAGAATGGGCTGGGGAACATCCCAGGCCCCTTGAGCTGCTGCCTGCCGGTCAGCTCTCTGACTGGGGAAGGCCCGGGCTTGCCCGCCATGAGTGACTTAGGTCTCAGCTGTGGTACACCCTCTTTTTCAACTTGCTCTTTCTGGAGCCAGAAAAAAACAGGCAGACCTCCCTCCATCCTAGAACAAGCGCACAAGTCAGAACTGTAGCTGCTCAGGCTGGCAGTACGCGAGTAGCGGGATGGGAGACTGCACTCGGGGAAGCCAGTCTACTCTGAGTGTGAGGACAACAGCTAAGCAGGGCTCCAATCCCTGAGGAAGCCGACATATCCCAAGAGCCGTGGGTTCACTTATGGGACACACAGGGCCAGGCTGGAGTGTCCGTGGAATATGTTCATGAATGTGTTCATCTTAAGGCCTGGGCTCACATGGCCACACAGGCTCCTCCTCATGCCTATCCCCCACCCCCCAGGTGTGCTGGGAGCAGCAGTTGCGGCCAGGAGGCCCAGGTCCCCCGGCCACTCCATCCCCAGCGCTGGACGCCCTGTCCCCGTTTCTTCGGAAGAAAGCGCAGATTTTAGAGGTGCTGCGAGCCTTGGAAGAGACCGACCCTTTGCTCTTGTGCTCACCTGCCACCCCGTGGCGGTCCACAGGCCAGGGCCCCAGCTCCCCAGAGCCCATCAACGGCGAGCTCTGTGGCCCACCGCAGCCTGAACCCTCGCCCTGGGCACCACACCTGCTGCTCGGTCCTGGGGGCCTAGGAGCTCTGCTGCACTGGGGACGCCTCTTAGGGGGCTCTGGGGAAGAAGAAGGTATCAGGCAGCCCTGGGCCCCCAGCAGCACCCCCCCTCCAGCCCAGGGCCCCAGCTCCTCTTCTTCCTCCGACGAAGCAGGTGACCCCGATGAGGCCCCTAGCCCCGACACCCTGCTAGGGGCGCTGGCCCACAAGCAGTTAAATCTGGGCCAACTCCTCGAGGACACAGAGACTTACCTCCAGGCTTTCCTGGCTGGGGCGACGGGCCCCCTCAGTGGCGACTACCCGGGTGCTGGGAAGCCATCCTCACCAGATCCAGGATCCCCACAGGTGTCCAAGTCCAAAGGCCTCCCAAAGTCAGCTTGGGGTGGGAGCGCCCCCGAGGCCACCAGGCTGGGCTTTGGTGCTACCTCAGAGGGCCAGGGGCCCCTTCCATTCCTCAGCATGTTCATGGGTGCAGGGGACGCCCCTCTGGGCTCACGGCCGGGCCACCCCCACTCTTCATCTCAGGTGAAAAGCAAGCTCCAAATCGTGCCCGCTTCTCCAGGGGAAGCCCAGGGACCCCTTCTGCCCTCTCCAGCCAGAGGTCTCAAGTTTCTCAAGCTGCCTCCACCCTCAGAGAAGGTCCCCAGCCCAGGAGGCCCCCAACTCAGTCCCCAGCTCCCTCGGAGTTCTCGAATCCCTTGTCGCAACAGTGGTTCAGATGGCAGCCCCTCCCCGCTGCTGGCCCGCAGGGGCCTGGGTGGTGGAGAGCTGTCTCCAGAGGGGCCACAGGGCCTGCCCAGCAGCCCTTCCCCCTGCTCTGCCATCCCAGACTCTGTGCAGCTCAGACCCTCCCAGTCAGCCGTGTCCACTTCACTGTCTCCAGGACCTGCGGTGTCTCCCTGCCTTGAGAAAATCCTGGATCTTTCCCGGGGCACCTTCAGGGGTTCTTCCCCAGAGCCACCTCCATCCCCGCTGCAGGTGCCCACCTACTCCCAGCTGACTCTGGAGGTACCCCAGCCCCCTGAGGTCCTCAGGAGCCCTGGCGCCCCTAGCCCTGGCCTCCCAGAACCCTGCCCCTATGGGAGCCCCCAGGAGAAGGGTCTGGACAAGGCAGGCCCCGAGTCTCCCCATCCTGGCCGCAGGACCCCAGGCGGCTCATCCAAGAAGCCTGGCCAGGGATCGGGGCGGCGACCTGGTGACCCGAGCCACACACCTCTTCGGGACAGATTGGCAGCCCTTGGAAAACTGAAGACGGGCCCCGAGGGGCTTCCGGGTCCAGAAAGGAACGGAATGCCAGCCCGGCCAAGCACTGAGAAGGCCAGGGCGCTAGGGCGGGCAGGCGAGAGTACTGGAGACAGGCCTCCCACCACGAGGCCTCTTGAGCAGCCAGAAGCTAAGGGCATCTTGCGGGGAGCGGTGGCCTTAGGCACGAGCAGCCTGAAGCAGCAGGACCCTGGACTTCCAGACCCTGGTGCCAGAGTCTACTCTTCCCATTCCATGGGTGCTCGTGTGGACCTGGAGCCTGCCTCACCAAGGAGCTGCCTCACCAAAGTAGAGCTGGCCAAGAGCCGGCTAGCGGGGGCGCTGTGTCCCCAGATGCCCCGCACGCCTGCAAAAGTGCCAACCTCAGCCCCTAGCCTGGGCAAGCCCAAGAGCCCTCACAGCAGCCCGACAAAGCTACCCTCCAAGTCACCCACCAAGGTGGTACCCCGCCCCGTGGCACCCATGGGCACCAAGGAGCCCTCCAAGGCAGACAAAGGGAAGGGCCCACCCTGGGCAGACTGTGGCAGCACAGTTGGCCAGCCTACATCCCCAGTCCCCGGCTCCACCGAGCCAAGCCAGGGCCCGGAAGGGCCAGTGCCACACTCGGCCATCGAGGAGAAGGTGATGAAGGGCATCGAGGAGAACGTACTGCGCCTTCAAGGTCAGGAACGGGCTCCCGGCTCTGAGGCCAAGCACCGCAACACCAGCAGCATCGCCAGCTGGTTTGGCCTTAAAAAGAGCAAGCTGCCAGCTCTGAACCGTCGCACAGAGGCTGCCAAGAACAAGGACGGAGCTGGCGGGGGCTCCCCGCTCCGGAAGGAAGTCAAGACAGAAGCCCGGAAGCTGGAGGCTGAGAGCCTCAACATCTCCAAGCTGATGGCGAAGGCGGAGGACCTGCGTCGGGCACTGGAGGAAGAGAAGGCCTACCTGAGCAGCAGAGCCCGCCCACGGCCTGCCGCCCCAGCCACAGTGCCCAGCTCAGGGCTGGGGCAGATGCAGGGTCAGCTGGCCGGCATGTGTCAGGGTGCAGACACCTTCATGCAGCAGCTGTTGAACAGGTGAGAGCCGGGTGCTGACCTGGCTGCTGTCTACCTGGGAGAGAGTAGCTCTCTTTTGACATGATGTCTTGCCCCTGCAGCCCTGATGCTGCTTCCTAACCAGACTAGTAAAAGTCCGTCTCAGGAGAGAGCCAAAAAAGATTCCCTTTGACTCCTACCACTAAATGGAGTCATGGTTTTGGTTTTGTCCAGACACAGTTTCTCTGTGTACTCTTTTGGCTGTCCTGGACTAGCTTTTCCAACCAGGGTGGCCTCGAACCTTCAGAGATCTGTCTGCCTCTGCCTCCCAAGCGCTGGGATTAGAGGAGTGCGCCTTGACCGCCTGGCTCCTTCGTTAATTTAATGTGTATCTAAGACATAACTACTTTTGTAAAGTGGTTCGTTTTGGCCTGTGGTTCTAGAGATCCAGAGGCCACGTGTAGGGATTGCCTTTGGCTCCCAGAGCCCTGCGGTCACCGGAGTACCGTGAAATGCCAGGGAGTGGTGTATGGCCCTGTCAGGGTGCCCCTCTTGGAAAGTCAGCAGTCACTTCCGGAAAGGTACTACAACTTTTGTTGGACTGAGACGGAGTCTCAGTGTGCAGGCTGGCCTGAGACCCTCTGTAGACCAAGCTGGCCTCAATTAGAGCTCCGCCTGCCTCTGCCTCGGCTGCTCAGCAGCATTTCCATCCTAATACCTCATTAGGAACAGTACATTTCAACACCTGAAGCCTTGAGAGACTCCAGCTAAGTCTGGACCTTAGCAGCCGCTGGACACCACTTCCCTCTCTTCCCTTGTGCTGTTGTCCCTAGGGTGGATGGCAAGGAGCTGGCCCCCAAGAGCTGGCGGGAGCCCAGGCCTGAGTATGGGGATTTTCAGCCAGTGTCCGCCGACCCCAAGAGCCCCTGGCCTGCCTGTGGGCCCCGGAATGGTTTGGTAGGCCCCCTTCAGGGCTGCGGAAAACCGTCTGGAAAGGTAAGTTCTTGAGCAGAGGCCGCGTCGAGGGCCTGGCTCGTCCCTCCTGGTCCGCTTAGTATGTGCTGCCTGGCCTCCCACACCTCCAGAGGCTCTGCAGGGGGCTCCGGGAGGCCCTGGCCTGGCCACTCCCTTGCCTGTCTGAGCTGTCCCTCTCCTGCACCCGCACAGCCCAGCAGTGAGCCAGGCAGGCGGGAAGAGATGCCTTCAGAGGACAGTCTGGCCGAGCCGGTCTCCACGGCACACTTCACAGGTCAGCAGGGTCCCTTCCCACTTCACTCCTGTTGCCACGGCAGTGCCCGGCCTGGCTGTTGGGGATGCGAGTCTTGGTCCCCGCGTAATTCTCCATGTCCTTAGAGGCACGCGTGCCAAGCTGAGGGCGAGGGAGAGTTGTCTGGGTCGGGTGAGTTCTGTGGGACGAGCCTTTTGAGCAGGAAGACCTGGATGGCCTGCAGCCGGGAGAGGGAGCAGAGGGCCTGGGCCTCATGCTTGTGTGTGTCCCCTCCCCCGCAGCCTGTGGCTCCTTGACTCGAACCTTGGACAGTGGCATCGGGACCTTCCCGCCCCCAGACCACGGCAGCAGTGGAGCCCCCAGCAAGAATCTCCCGAAGACCAAGTCTCTGCGTCTGGAGCCCCCGCCAGGGGCACCCCCAGCTCGGCCTGCAGCCCTCACCAAAGTCCCTCGCCGTGCCCACACACTGGAGCGGGAGGTGCCAGGCATAGAGGAGCTGCTGGTGAGCGGACGGCACCCCAGCATGCCAGCCTTCCCCGGATTGCTCACCGCTCCACCAGGCCACCGAAGCCATCAGACCTGCCCTGATGGTAAGCATCCCGGGCCGGCGGGAGGACGGTCCTACGAGCATCTTTAGAGCTGGGCCGCTGATGCTCCCCTTCTTCTGGACAGACCCCTGTGAAGACCCAGGCCCTCCCCCACCCGTCCAGCTGGCCAAGAACTGGACCTTCCCGAACACCAGAGCGGCCTGCAACTCTGGTGACACCTTCCTGTGCCCACCCCGACAACTGCAGGGACTCCCTAGGACCCCCGTGGTGAGCTAACAGAAGGGAGAGGAAAGGCGTGTGGAGGGAGGGGCTCCGCAGAGCCAGCACATCCAGAGGCATGAGGACGATAAGCCTGCCCGCCCATCCCATCTGGAGAGGGCTCCCGTTACACCCCAGAACCCTGCCTCCGTGGACCCCCTCAGCAGTCCGTGTGTGTTCGATGCCTCTCTGAGCAGGTCCCTCTTCTTTAGGCCCTGCCTGTGGACCGGAAGCAGAGCCTGGACCCCAGCCGCACACCCATGCCTCAGGGCCCAGCATTTGGGGGAAGTCGTACCCCCAGCACGTCGGACATGGGCGAGGAAGGCAGAGTGGCCAGTGGGGGTGCCCCCGGCCTGGAGACCTCGGAGTCCCTAAGCGACTCACTCTACGACTCGCTGTCCTCCTGTGGGAGTCAGGGCTGAGGCGATGCAGCCACACGGTTCCTCTGGAGCTGGGGTCCCCAGACTAGTGAGGCTTGATCTGAAGGGACCCAGGAGAAGGTTGATAAGAAGGTGCGGGGTCCTGGGCACACCCCACCGCTGCTGTGGATGCGTCAACCATACTCAGCTCAGGGAGAGACCCCACCCCTGGTCCCTGGACTCACCCCGAGGAGGCTCTTCTCTAAGGGACCAGGGGCTCCAGGCTGCTTTGCTCCCACTTCAGGCTGAGCCATCTTGTGGTGCTGGGCTTTCTGCCCGCCAGCTGTGCCACCTCTGCCCAACCTGGCTGCAACCCTGCCCCGAAGCCCCCATGGGGCCAACTTTGGAAGGCCCAGGCTTGTGGAGTTTGGGGGTGAGGGGGGACAAGTTGCCTTCTCTCTGCCCTGGTCCTCCCTGCTGTCTGAATGGTGCTGCCTCCCTTCCCCAAGACTTGGGGTCTGTTTGTCTGTCTTCATCTTTGTTTTTATATATATATATATATATAAGCGCCTGACCCAGTCCCCACACCCTACCCGCACTGCGGTTAATTTATCTGTTGTTGAAAAGCGGCTGCTCTGCTTCTGCAGTATCCCCAATAAAACATGGAGGCCTCTCCCCACCATGACTGTTGTGTGGCAGCAGCTCCGTTCTGGCTCCGTTGCTGGCTTCTATATAACTTCCCCAGGGCCGGTAAGTAGGCCAGGGAACCCCAAGTTCTCTTGAGAGGCTGTGTGCTCTCCCTTCCCCCAGGGTTGCTGGCTAGAGTCCCCTAGGAGGTGGCTTGGGGTTCGTGAAAGGCCCCTGCTTAGCTGAGGTTGGGTGAATGTTCCTGTGCAGGGTCAGGTGGGGCACAGGCTGGGCAGCCGTGGAGAGAAAGCTGGGAAGAGGACAGTGATCGCACCCTCACACCCTCCATGTGCCAGGCGGGCGATGGGCCGGCTCAGAGCAGCCTGGCTGGCTTTGCATGAAGACACAACAGCCAGCGACTACCCAGACGGAAAGGGGAGGAGCCGGCAGCAGTGTTCCCACGCCCACACAGCAAGCTGCTGTCCCATAAACCAGCCCCACACATCCTGGGAGCAGACTAGAAGCCAAGGCTCTCCGTCACCAAAGCCTGCGATCCCAAACCGGATCATGGCACACCTCAGGCTTCCTCGCCTGTGTGTGAGGTGGCCTGAGCCAGGTGGGGCCAACCAGTTACTTTCTGCGCCACCTCACATCTGGTTGATGCCATCGCTCAAAGCAGGGTCTGGTGCAGTCTTGTCTGAGTTCAACCTCGTGTCATGCCTCTTCCTAGGACAGGAAGTCTGGGTCCTCCTGGCTTGTTTCTTGGCCTGTTACTGGCTTAAGCCTGGTGTATTACATCATTTCCTGTCAGAGCTGCGTTAGCCTTCAGGATCCTACTCTTTTCTGAAAAGGAGTTTGGCTTGGTGGGCTTGAGTCTCGTCGTCTTCCCTTCAAAGCTCAGGCCAAAGGGTCCGTCCATATTCCCGCAGGGTCTGGTCAGTAGGCCCCTGGGCACTGCCCTCAGGAATTTGGAAATGCCAGGTGCCACCCTGGTCCCTGGGTCAGTATGAGTTGACTGGAGAAACGTCTCCGGGCAGGAGAGCTGTGTGGGCCTCACGGTGCCCAGGGGCAGCCCTACTTGCACGGTTGTGCCCGCTCCTCTGCAGACTTTTAGTCCCATACAGTCAGCTGTAGCCCACGTGACTGTGCCCACCCACAACTGAGACAATTTGGGGGACCCAGTCCCAGCGGAAACAATTTGGGGGAGGGAACACGTGGGTGAGTTTGAGGCTGAGGGAACCCAGTTACCCAGACAGAAAGGAAGGCTTCGATAAAAATGTCCTTGGTCTGGGTGGGGCCAGAGCGCCTGGTCGCCTGCAACAGCTGCTTCTGAACTTGTGACCTCACTCTTCGGAGAACAATGGCTGAGTGTTGGTCTTCCCATGGCGCAAGACCTCAGCTGGGTTTCCCAAGCGGGAAGCTCAGGCTGCCAGCACCTGCCCACCCCATAAAGGCAACAGCCCGCCCAGGGCTCAGGCTCCACACGCCGGCACCTCTCCTTAGCAGGAAGTCCCCCAAAAAGTTAACTGAGCTTTCCCCAGGGCTGCTAGTGGTTTTATTTTCTTTACTTTTTTTTTCTAGTTTTTTTTTTCCCCTGCAAATAGTATGTTTTGTTTCCTTTACCAAAAAAAAAAAACAAAACAACTTTATGCTCTGCAGCAAACTCTAGATGCCCACCTTCTCTGATTTACATATCATTTAATTGAATTACATCAATTCAAGTGTATAAATCATCTCTCAAAGCCACAAGTTCACAGTAAGTACTTGTGGGCACATCTGATTTAAGAGAAGGGGCTACCTTTTCTTTCTTCCTTCCTTCCTTTCTTTCTTTCTTTCTTTCTTTCTTTCTTTCTTTCTTTCTTTCTTTATTTCTTTCTTTCTTTCTTTCATTTATTAAAGACATGCAAATTTGGGCTGTTTCACAACCACCAGTAACTCCAGTTTCAAGGTACAGTACTTGCTGTGGGAACATAAGGACCCTAATTTCAGATAGTTAGCACCTACATAAAAGCCAGGCTTAAAGGTGTGTGCCTGTGACCTCCCGTACTGGGGGCCAGGGAGGCAAAAGCAGGCAGATATCTGGGCTTGATAAGTAGCCAGTCTAGTTAAAGGGTGAGCTGTAGGTGCAGCAAGAGACTGTGTTAGTGAAGAAAGCAAGGCCGGGTGTGGTGGGGCTCGCCTTTGATCCTTGCACCTGGGAAGCAGAAGCAGGCAGATCTCTTGAATTTGAGGCAGCCTGGTCTACAGAGGGAGTTCCAGGACAACACAAAGAAACCCTGGCTCAGAAAGGCCAGGCGTGGCGTGTTAACGCCTCAGCACCTGGGGGCAGAGGCAAGCGTGCCAGGACTAAGGCCTTCCTGAGCTACGAAATGTAGCCTCAGCTACATAAGGCCCCGTCGCTCAGGGCTTGTCAGGGCGCTTGCCACCACACCTGACAACCTGAGTTTGGTGCCCTGGGCCCACACTCCGCACGGTGTCTGGATTCCACATGTAAACCCACACATAAATATACTTAGTGAAAATATACATATCAATATGATAATATGTACAAATATATATTATTTTATAAGAAACCATCTCAAAAAATACATATATTAATAAAATATTTTGAAAAAGAAAAGGCTGGAAAGTGGTGGTGCACACCTTTAATTCCAGCACTCTCAGAAGGCAGGGGCAGGCGGATCTTGTTAGCTCAAGAAAAGAAACGTCTTAATCTTTTTAAGATTGTGGTTTGTATGACTATTAGGGTTTGAGACAGAGTCTTGCTGTACAGCTCAGGTTGACTCAGATCCTCCTGCCTCCCCCCACCAGTGAGAGAGCCACAGTTAGGAGTGTATCATCAGGTGGCGTTTCTGTGTATACGTGTATATGAACGTTTCAGTGGTGCAGAGAACTCCCCACACTGCTTGTCCTTCTGCTCCACCGTGTCAAACCTACGGTGCTCGTTTCCTGCCCTTCGGTGCACAGACCAAGGTACCTCTAAATCAGGAGTTAATACTGAACAAAATTCCCCTAGGCCTGGCTCAGGGCCCTGCACATCCAGTCCCAGCCAGTCAGGAGGCTAAAGCAGGAAGATGACTTGAGCCGAGAAGTTTGCGGCCGGCCTGAGCAACACAGCTGGACCAGTGTCCTGAACAAACGGCAAACCAGCAAGGTGGCTCAGTGGGTAAAGGCACCGGCCACCAGCCTGATGGCCTGAGTTCAGTCGCTGGAACCCACACAGGGAGGAGAGTGACTCCTGCAAATTATCTCTGACTTCTATATTAGTAGTGTAATAATAAAGCCTTCTCATAATTTTTTTACTGATTCTTTGTGAATTTCACACCATGCACCCAACCCCACTCATTTCCCAGTTCCTCCTTCCTCCCCCTACCCTTGTAACTGCCCCTTAAAAGAAAATAAAAATTAAAGAATCTTTAAAGACTCGCCATGGAAGCTGTGGTGTGTCCCACAGTTTACCCTTTGGTCCTGACAGCTTCACTTACAAATGTCTATTGCAGTGAGTCACTGGTTTGGTTCGAGGCCTCTGGCTTCTGCTCCACCATCAATACTGGACCCTCAGCAGGACCCCTCCTGAGCATGGTACTACACACCCATAACTGTGGCACTGTGACAGTGGAGGCAGAAGGCTGGTGGGGGCCTGCCCAGGACACAGGGGACACAGTCTCAAAAACAAACTGGGCTAGAGAAGGAGAGTCCACTGGAATCCATCAAGAGTGTGTATATATGTGTATGTAAGAGAGCAAGAGGGAACATAGGACTTGGAGGGAGGAAAGAAGAGAGAGAAATGATGCAATTGTAATCTCAGGAAATAAAGGATTAAAAAATATATAAGGAAGTAGATGGAGGGAAAGGGAGCCCTACTGGGTGGCCTCACTACATAGTCCAGGCTGGCCCTGAACCCATGACACTTCCTGCTCCTGCTGTGGCCTCTCCAGGCCTGAAAGCACCGGGCCCCCAACACAACCCTCGCATTCTCTTAGCAACAATGAAAAAGCCTTTCTCTCCAAATGAGAAAGTGTTGCCAGTGGATGGCGCATGGGGAGGCAGCGTCATGGTTTGCCGGGCTGCTCTGCCACCGTGTGGTCAGAAGAGGGAACGCAGGGCTCCTCCACCTCTTGACACCTTGGCGGGCTTTGGGCGAATAGGAACCATCCCACACGACTGGAACTATCCCTGCTCATTCTCCCCTCCAGGCATGCATCATGCGAGACACACATTTCCTACCACCGACCTCAGGGCATGGCGGCTGGCAAGGCAGCTAGACAACCCCGCTGTGTTTCTCTCTAGTGCGGGCCCTTGTGAGGTCAGGACGCCTGCTCCCTGGAACTTGGAAGACAGAAACGCCTTTGGATGCGTCCAAGTTGTTGCACAGGCCAGGGTTAATTTCCATTCAGAGTTTGTTTGTTCAGTCAACAATGGAGGAATTACTGAATTGTTCCCAGTTTTAGGCTCCCAGTTTTAGGTTGTTAGAACTGAAACAGGAGCTAAGTTCACTCGGCAGAACACTTGCCTAAAATTCACAAAGCCTGACCCTGCACAGAAGGAGATGCTCAGGCCAGAGCCTGCAGTTCCAGGACTGGCAGGGGGAGGCAGGAAGAAGGGCTATGTGAGCCTGGTCTCAAAGTGAAAATACGGAGCTGGAGAGCTAAGTCAGCAGTTATAAGAACACACTGCTCTTGCGGAGGACGCGAGCACTCACCCCTGCCAGCTCACAGTTGCTGAATGTCCAGATCCCCCGGGGTTTGACAACTCTGGCCTCCCAGGTGTGCGCATGACACACACACACACACACACACACACACACACACACACACACACACAGGAGGGGTGCCATACAGCATTTGTGAAAACATAGTTTCTTTTTCTCTCAGATACCCAGTATTGCAATTGCTGGGTTAAATGGCTAGGCATGGTAGCACCTTTATCCCCAGTACTTGGGAGGCAGAGGCAGGCAGATCTCTGTGAGTTCGAGGCCAAGGTAGTTTACAAAAGTGAGTCCAGGACAGCCAGGGCAACACAGAGAAACCCAGTCTCAAAAAACAAAAACAC